CCCCCCACCCCCCCAGGAGGAGGGTTTCACCACTGTGATGGGGTGGAAATACAGATACTGGCCCCTTTCTCCAAGAAGAAGGAGGGGGAGCGAGGAGGGGGAGAGAATGGGGCTGCAAGTTGGCAGGTGCTATCCCACAGTGGACAGGTGTTCAGCCACCATCCCAGGTCACAGAGCTGGGCAGGGGCTCTCGGCAGGGCATCCTGGGGACCCCGTGGGGCAATGACTGTACTCTCTGCTTTTGAGAATTTACGTTCTGCTTGGGCTGAGGTCTTGGGGGACGTTGCTAATCTGAATCTTGAAATGCAGGCAGCCTGGGTTTTTATCTTACTTACTGAGAGTTGCAAATGCATATAAATGTGGACAGGAAAGTCTGAGGGATTCCTGAGCACCTGTCACTGCCTCCCCGCCCCCACCCAGATCCCAGACCCCAGTCCCTCCTGCAGCATGTGAAGCCGCCAGACAGCAGCATGCTTCCTGCATAGATGTTTCAGTGAAACCTCTGAGAGATGATGACCTTTTTAAAAATGGAGGTGAAATCCACACAACATAAAATCAGCCATTTTAAAGTGGACAGTTCATCGTCCTTCACAATGTTGTGCGACCAACACCGCTATCTAGTTCCAGAACATGTTTATCACCCCAAAGGGATAATCTGTACCCGTGAGCAGTCACTCCCGCCCCCGCTCCCCCAGCCCCTGGCAACCACTTATCTGCTTTCTGTTTCTGTGGATTTGCCTGTTCTGGAAATTTCCTGTAAATGGAATAATATACGATGTGGCTGTTTGTGTCTGTGGAGGACTGATTTTAAAACAAAAGATTTAAAAACAGAGTGTCAGAGAGATGTCTGTACACCCGTGTTCATAGCAGCATCATTCACAATAGCTGAAACATGGAAGCAACCCAACTGTCCATTGACTGATGAATGGAGAAGCAGATGTGGTCCATCCACACAGTAGAATATTATTCAGCCATAAAAGGAAGGAAATTCCAACACACGCTACAATGTGCATGAACTTTGAGGACATTGTGCTAAGTGAATAAGCCAGGCACAAAGGGCAAATATTGTGTAATTCCACTTATGTGAAATCTGTAGAGTAGTCAGATTCATAGATACAGTTAGTAGAATAGTGGGTGTCAGCATTGGGGGATGGGGATGAAGAGGTAATATTTAATGGAGACAGAGTTTTAGTTTGGGAAGATGAGAAGTTTTGGAGATGGATGGTGAGATGGATGTTGAACAGTGTGAATGTACTTTATGCCACTGAATTATTCACTTAAAAATGGTTAAGCCCATGCCCTAGCCGGTTTGGCTTAGTGGATAGAGTGTCGGCCTCTGGTCCCAGGTTTGATTCTGGTCAAGGGCACATGCTCTGGTTGTGGGCTTGATCCCCAGTAGGGGGCATGCAGGAGGCAGCCAATGATTCTCTCTCATTGATGTTTCTATCTCTCTCTTCCTCTCCCTTCCTCTCTGAAATCAATAAAAATATATATATTTTTAAAATGGTTAAGCCCTTCCCTGGCCAGTGATGCTCGCAGTGGTTAGAGCGTTGACCTGAGCACTGAAGGGTTGTGGGTTTGATTCCTGGTCAAGGGCATATACCTGGGTTGCAGGTTCCATCCCCCGACCCGGTTAGGGAGCATGGGGAAGGCAACCAGTCCATGTGTCTCTCTCATAATGCTGTTTCCCTCTGCCCCTCCTTCCCTGTTTCCTACCCTCCCTCCCTCCTTCCCTCCCACTTACTACAATTCAATGGAAAAAATATCCTCGGGTGAGAATTAACAAAAAATAAATAAATAAATAAAGTGGTTAAGCAGGTGTGGCTTAGTTAGTTGCACAAAATTACCCTGACTCAGCGGTGTCCTAGCTGGGGGTCCCAGCTTGATGATCAGCTCCCCCTCCTGTCCAGGTGCTCCCTGCAGAGGACGTCAATGAGCAGGTGACTTGGAGGGCAACTGGGTGGGGCTCGTCTGCTGTGGTTGAGCGGCAGCGCAGCGTACATAGACTATGTGCCTGACAGTGGTCGCGCCCCAGGGGTGGTGCTGCGGGCAGCCTGGGTTCAGCCGGCCGGGCTCTGGGGGACAGAATGGAGCACATGGGCTCTGGGCCGAGTTGCCCTGCGGGGTGTCAGTGCTGAGGCTCACCTTCGTGGCCTGCGTGCAGCACATAAGGTGTCCCCAGGAAGCAGCATGGGGATAGAGACGGTGGAAGGAAAGAGGGGGAACCAAATGCATCATTTACATAGAAGGCCTGTTGAGGCCCCTTTGGAGGACTGGGCTGTTTCCCCACAGTCATGAACCTTAGGGCTGTTTTGTTCTAGTGCCCAGGATGGGGGCGGGGGGGTTGTCCTGGGGTGTCAGGCTCCATGGCGTGCTCCCTCTCTGCCAGGTGGTCCAGTACATCGGGGAGATCTGCCGTTACCTGTTGAAGCAGCCGGTGCGTGAAGCAGAGGGGCAGCACCAGGTG